TTTCCACTTTATTATCACTTTTTGGCCCACGTGTGATAACGTCCTTAGGTTGTCATTCTTCAATCCATATGGGCTCTGACTTTGATCCAACAAACTAAATATAAGGCTACATTTCCACTGCAGAAATAATCCAGTTTGACACCACTTTAACAAGCCATGGCTCAATGCTGTGGAATTCTGGGCTTCGTAATTTAGTGAGATATTTAGCCTTCTCTGTCGGAGGGCTGTAGAGCCACAATAAACTACAATTCCCAGAATTCCACAGCATTGAGCCATGGCAGCTAAAGTGATGCCAAATTGGATTATTTCTGCAATGCAGATGCAGCCTATAGAAAAATTTGAAATACTTTGAAATCTCATAATACTAGGGAACTTCTGTTTAAGTATTAACATGTAACACAGCTTCAAAATTACAAATTGTAATAGGTCGTAGGGTATAGTAGTAATCTCCATGATTGTTGTAATAGGATTAAATGAGAAAATATGATGAGCCCATTCTTTGCAAAGTTTCTGCCACAAAGGAGTAAATGATGACTGTTTATCATAGCACATTGTTTTCCTTATCTATTTATCCTACATTCAGCATGATTTATTTTGCCACTGGTCATTGGAAAGTCAATTTGGACAATTTATAATATATAATTATAATTTATAATTTTGATTTCTGAGGCATGTCTCTGAAGAAATATCAATGTGGGAAGACAAAGGGATTAATTAAGGAATATGCATTTCTTAACATCCGATTCAACTCACCATTTTTAAAATGCAACTTAACATCACCATTCTGGTGAGACAGGGGTCAGTCAGATGTCTTTTTATTTTTAGCTGAATGATGGGAATGATTTCAGTCATGCATTCCAGGTTTGTTATTCACACTATGGATCTGCATTGATGCACATCTCTGAAGGTTCGGTTGCTCACACATGTCAGCACTAAAATAAAGATAAAGTTCATGATGCAAATGTACTTGAAATGCGTTCAAGGCATGCAGATCTTAATACCAAATTATCCTGAGTCTATTCACATCGGTTATTCACACTGCCAATGATACAAATCTTTTTTTTTAAAAAAAATTGAGAAAAAAACCAGTCTTGATTATCCAAGGGTAAGTGGTTTTTTTGGCAGCCCCCTCCCTCCCAAGCTGAATCAGGTCATTCGGGTTGCATGTGAACAACAGAGTTTCAACTCGGATTCATCCTGGATTATTTTCACCATCTGAATAGCCCCAGAGAAGTAGCTATTTCAACACTTCTGAAGCCTAACATATGTATTAGGGCATATCAGTTGCTTCTACACAGGTGGGAGGACAATTTGAAAAGATGATACTTTACTGTGGCACTTTGACAGAGGATCTTCACAACAAAAACCTACTGGGATGAACACCAGTTTTCCTTATGTTGTCAAAGGGTAATTTAGGAGGCTAAAAACAGAAAGTATGAACAATCATAAGAGATAAGAAACAATCACACAACATAGGGCCAGATTGAGCCAGCCTGGTGTAGCAGTTTGAGTGCTGGACCATGATTTTGGAGACCAGAGTTTGAGTCCCCACTCAGCCATGGAAACTCATGAGATGACCTTGAGCAAGGCACACACTCTCAGCCTCAGAGGAAGGCAAAGGCAAACCTCCACTGAACAAATTTTTCCAGGAAGCCCCCATGATAGGTTTGCCTTAGGGTCACCTAAATCAGAAAGCAACTGGAAGGCACACACTGATTCTCAGAACTTTTATCAAGATAAGGGGCCCCTTAGCTTTATCCAAAAACAACCACCACCACCACAACAACAACTCCCTGCCAACAAAGAGAAAAAATGCAAATGTTTGTGTATTTTGTTGGTTGGTTGCGGAAGT